ACATACTTTTACCATATATGAAAAAGGTTATATATAAAAAGATTTTGAAAAGGCTTTCCTAAATCATTTTGGAAAAGATTACAAATCTGGCCTAGCCCTGCTGAGCGATCGCTCACATGATTGGTCAGCAGTCTCTATGTTTTGAAAAATAGAACTTCGTGATCGAAAGGCGAGCGATCTCTCTTGGAGTGCGATGAATCACTATTCCACATTTTCCCTAAACCTAATTCTATTTGTCTTGGAAAACTTTTTTCTTCTATAAACAGGTATTTCTAAACTCGAATTTGGTGATCTCAATTATTGTGTTTTCATAGAAAAATATACTTTCTCTTTAGAGAGTTGAATTTGATAAATTCATAAAATACTTTACATTCTTACAATGTTTGTTCTAGACTTTTGGCAAATTAGGTGATCGGAGCCGTTCGTGAACAGAGATTGTAACTAAAATTTCGTGGAATCCTGAAGATCAAGAAGGCTGACTGGGGCAAGTTGTGCTCGTAGGAATTATTACAAAATATCATATTAGGTAAACCTAGGTAAAGGTTATAAGTACTCTCGACTTTGTATTTGTATTCTTTGATCATAGTGGATTTTCTTTGAGTGTTGGGATCGTGATTTTTTACCCAGTTGGGTTTTTCATGTAAAATCTTGTGTTCATGTGCTGATTTTTTTTACTTGATTTAATTTGTTTAATCAACTTATTTGAACTTAAAATTGATAATTTTAATTTATTGGCCTATTCAGCCCCTCTGGGCACTGAATATTCAGAATATGTAATTTAATTAGAGTTTAAGTTGACAAAATTATAAAGGTTAAATTTTATTTTATTTTTATAATTTCCTGTATTTTTTTAAAAAATGATTTCTTAACGAAAATTCGAGAACTTTTTATTCCCACTCATTCGCATGTGGCGCCATTACCGATTCATGTCACAATAGTTCCACCCAGAAAAATTTGAATGCAACTAATCAAAATAAATAAATAAACTATATTGGTAGTCCCCGTATCTTGTCATTCATGTTATTTTAATCTCTGTAATGTTAATTAACTTAATTTTGATCTTTAATTTTTAATTTTATTTCAATTTAATTCAATTGATAATGCCCATTAGGGTTTTTAAGAGAAATGATCACTGAATTAATTGAGATTAATTCAACGAGTTAAATAGGTTTCTAATTTTGTCTATAAGAACATAATATATTACGCTTACCTACGCATTTCTCATATATATATATATAAACTAACAATTGTAATGAATTAGACTAAATTGAGATAAAATCATAAATTGAAAATCAAAATCGAGCGATTAACATTACAAAAATTAAAATAACACAAGGGCCAAGATATAAGGATTGTCGGTATAATTTGCTAAAAATAAAAATAAAAAATAAAAATAAAAATTCTAGGCATTTCTAAAAGAAAAAATGTTAACCACAGGAGTAACCTTTCCGATTAGACTCTAAACTGATACTACAGAGGTCACTCTTAAGTGGTCCTACACAGCAAAACTATTTAACCATATAACTCTAAGTCCAAGACTCGCAATCAAGCAGATCTTCAAACTCATACTCTTAATACTGGATATGGCTCGCCCAAATTTTAAAAAATTCATCCTATCAACCAGGACAGGCCTAGGATTTGATCATTGGGGGCCAATAAATAAATAAATAAATAAAGATGGAAAGACATGTAAGGTTGGATTTAAAGGCAATAGATTTTCATGCAATTAACACTTGTGATTTTTGATGTTATTAATTGAAAATAGATAAACTTTGTTAAATATTTGATATAACAGTAATATCACTAATCAATGAAAATTTTTACATTACGGTAGTGAAAGATAATGATTGGCTTAGTGAGAGACAAAAAATTGTCAATCTAATTTTATTAATCATTTTTTATCGGTTGAGACACTACAATTCTCACTTAAACCTTCTATGTTTTATAAAGTGAATAATATATTTACAAATATATTTTAGAACATAATATGTTAGGGAGTTGTCGTTTGATAACTTTCAAATTTGGCCAAAAGTCACCATAAGTTATCACATTACTCTCTCTACTTTTTTACATATCTTTTCGTAAAAAATCAAAAATTACTAAAATAACATGTTCACAAACGAGACTACTTATGCATGTTATCAAAACATATGTAACATAACCATAACAAATTGTAATTTTTCGCAACATTTTGCACGACAATGGTTTGTAATATTTACATTATATCTTTCATAACATAACTGCAATAATTTATAAATTTCACTTTAGAAATATCTACTATTAGGGCTGTAAAAATGGTCCGCGGCCTGTGGGTGGCCCGAAACCCACCCACAGCTCGGGACGGGTCCAACCTGATTAGGTCTGGGCCCCAGCCTAGCCCAGGACCCTAGGCCTGGGTCGTCATTTTGAAACCCGGACCACCTAACCCGACTCATTGGCTCACTCAAGACCTAGTGTAATTTTTAGTAGCAAAGAATAAAATTTTGATAGAAAAACAGAAAAAAAAAATTTAAAATATTCTGGCCCGTCCCGCCCAAGACTCGAATATCCGTGGGCATGTGTATAATTTTTTGGCTCGTGACTTGAATTTTGGTTGGAACCAGATGACCTGACATGGGTCGAACCCAATTTACACCCCTACCCATTATAAATTCAACTTTATCACAAAATAATACTACAAGTATTTTAACTTTTCATTACAAAAATTTATATAGCATTCTACTATTAGTCTATTATATTATAAAGTGATGTTATGTTAACAAAAATATTAAGAACATGAGAATTAAATGAGAGAGGAGTCTACGTAAGAGAAGAAGTTACTCATGTTAAACCAATTCTATGCATCACAACCAAGCTTCTTTCACAAAAGGGGGGCCACGGTCCCTGTAGACCTACACTACGTTCCGTGCCTGCTACCGCATGTAGTGTAACCAGAATAACTAGCCCGAGGAAAGTTCGAGTTTATATACCCAAGCCTTAACAAGTCTGCAGTAGCCGTTGGGTTCTAGGCATTTCTAGCAGATTGGCTTTGAATAAAGTCCCTGACCTCTGCAATTAGGTACCAAAGTTGGGGCAATTCAGGAAAGATATAGAAGCCATGGATGGCGTTTGGATACTTAATCAACTTCACTTCCTTCCCTGATTAAAATTTGCATTCCGAACAAAACTTAATTAAATTAAATGCAGATGCTAAAAAAAATAAAGAAACAAAAAATAATATAGATTTGGCTGCATTTATTTTTTATTTTTTAAAAAAATGTGGATAAGATCTATGTCACAGAATCACTGAGATCAATAATACTTATCAGCGTGGGTGGTTTCAATTTTCTGATTTCAGTTTTTTAAAAACTGAGTTTTTTATTTTTCGTATTTTTAATGAGTATTTTCTTAATTTTAAGTAATTTTTTATATTTTTTTAGATACACCTTACTTAGATGTATCTAAATAGTAAAATATTTGTGAAAAAATATTTTAAAAAGCTAATAAATACACAAAAATACGAAACATGTAAAATATTTGTGAAAAAATATTTTAAAAAGCTAATAAATACACAAAAATACGAAACATGTATTGAATTGCTGTATTTTTTTAATATATATTTTGATATTTTATGTATTTTCTAAAGATTTTTTTTCACAAATATTATATTTTTAAAATATATTTATGTTAAGTGTGTCTAAAAATTGAAAATAATTACTTAAAATATTAAAAAAATTGATTGAAAACATTAAAATAAAAAAATAAAAAAAACTAAAATTTTTTGAAAACTGTTTTTTAAAAATTAGAATCAAACAAGCTGTATAGTTTTATATAATTCTACAAAGTTTCTCCAGGATTTGATTTTGAAAATTTTTTGATTGAAGAGTTTACAGTGGAGTACACGTATGAAATCCAATAGATGATAGGATAGGATAGAATTGGATACGCTACTACGGCGTACGTCACCTCTGCCAAAAGTTATGGAAAATGGTAAAGACCACTAATTAGTGGTTGCACTAGGACCTTCTGTCACATGTGTTTTGTGTCTTAATTTTTTTACTTGTCACATCATTAATGATGGGGTTAGTAATAAAAATTTAATGATACGTAGCATTGTTGAAAAGTTATTGGTTGATCATCACTACATGACGCATGTATTGTAATGGGAAAAGTGAAGAATCATAGTTTTATATTAAGTAATTAAAAAAAAATGAGAGATAAAAATTTGTGATTGAGATTCCCAGAATCAACTAATAAATAATTTTTCCACGAATGCACTACATAGCCTCTAATTTGTCATCATCTGATTGGGCCGATTCAAGACCCCCGGCTGCACATTATCGTTCCCCAGGATAAGGTTGAGTTTGGTGTGATTTAATTGATGAAAACTTTGTCCTTGTGAGTATTGGGAGGATAATTTTGCCATCATATCTCATCTCTTTAAACACTTTCATACTTTTTTTTTATAGGTATCAATTCAAACTTATATTGAATCACCTCACAATAAATCTATGCAAATTTTGTTTTATAAAACAAAAATGTAATTTATTCTCAAATTTATAATTGTCCAATAAAATTAATTTTTTACATGAATAACTTTTATTACAAAGTTTATGAAACAAACATTTTGAATCACCAATGCAAATCTAAATTAAAACCTATAAAAAGTGTATAAAGAAATATTAAAAGATGAGGCATGAAAAAAAACTAGCATGATACAAATTATTATTTTAAAATTTATATTTTTTTATCATTATTTCCTTTATAAAAAAAAAAAAAAGAGAAGGTTGTTAACATTAAATATATTAAAAAAGAAAGAAAAAAGATTGATATTATATTTAAAAAAAAAAAATTTGTTAACATTAAATATATTAAAAAAAAAAAGAAAAAAGATTGAAGATATATTTAATTTTTGTTGTGAACCTTAAAATAAATAAATAAATAAATAAAAAATGATTGTTAACATTAAATATAAAAAATAAAAATGGGAATTAGAGTGGGTGGAGGAAAATCCATACCCATTAAGAAATGGGGAGGATGGTACCTATAGAGAATAGAGAATGAGAAAAATTTATTATAAAGAAATAAAAATAGGGAATTAATATCCACTCCATTGCCCTCCACTGTCATCCCCCTGTTTCTACTTTCTCATTTTACACGCTAGTCTAATCACCACACCCCGTCACCATCTGCAACTCAATGGAAAAGTTACTGATAAACAGCGTGTAAACTCGTAGATAGTGTAAGAAATAAATTGAGATGTATATTATTGATTGATGTCATACAAGATTGTTGTATTGTTATTTGTATCTGTATATTACAAGTCCTATATATAGAGAGGTTTTGGGAGTAGTAGGTGTAGAGTGGGTGGTGGTAGTAGGTATAGTGGAGGTGGTAGGTGGAGTGGGTGAGGAGTAGTGGAGGTGTGTAGTGGTAGTGGTAGGTTTTAGTGGTGTAGGAGGTGTACATTAACAGCCCCCCTCAAACTCAAGGAGGATAGGAACTAACCAACTTGAGTTTGAAGAGAGTAACAAAATAGAAAAATAAACTGATAAATAAAACAGGATAGGAGACACGGTATGGTCGTGTCAGACCGATGTAGCAGACAGTTTATGGGGTCATGTCGGACCGTTGTAGCAGACACTGTGTGGTCGTGTCAGACCGATGTAGAAGACAGTTTACGGGGTCATGTCGGACCGTTGTAGCAGGACAGTTTACGGGGTCATGTCGGACCGATGTAGAAGGACAGTTTACGGGGTCATGTCGGACCGTTGTAGAACCTTGTGGTGGTGCACCAAGGGGTCATGTCGGACCGTTGTAGCAGGACAGTTTACGGGGTCATGTCGGACCGTTGTAGAAGACAGTTTACGGGGTCATGTCGGACCGATGTAGAACCTTGTGGTGGTGCACCAAGGGGGCGACTTAGGGAATGCGCCATGGGGTGACTTGAACATGATACTGTGTATAACCCCCCCTCAAACTCAAATAGGTGTAAAGATAGAAACCTATTTGAGGTTGAAACAAAGGGATTGATAAAGCTGACCGGTGTAGAAGACACTGTATGAGTGTGTATATAGGCTGCCCAAAAAAAATATACATGGATGTAGATATCGAGCCCTCAAAAGTCGTGCCCTCAAAAGGTGTGCCCGCACCCTCAAAAGGCGTGTCAACTTCTTCTTTCATTCTGCCCCATGATATCATTGAAATTACCTGCAATAAGCCAAGGCCTAACCATTAAGCTTGAAGTGTTCTCTAGATCATTCCAGAGGTTTTGACGGATGCCAGGATTAGGACTGGCATAGACTGCAGCAAGAACCCATTCTTTAAAATTCTCACGTTTCACAGTAGCTTGAATAAGTTGGGAGTTGGCAATATGTGCACTAACAGAAACTTGGGTAGGATCCCAAATCAGCCATATACCTCCAACTCCCCCAACAGGGTCAACAATGGTAGAGGCAGTATACCCCAACTGGTTGAAAAAGAGACCCATAGAACTGAAAAGGACTTTTGTTTCAAACAAAGCCACAACATTAGGGTGATGTATTCTAATGATTTCTCTGAAATTCTGTTTGAAGATTTTATTGCCGGCTCCCTAACAGTTTCATAGCATAACATTCATGGATGAACGATTGGGGAAATTAGGTAATGGGTCTGAGCTAGGCAGGCCAATATAATCACGCACAATCTTTTTGGATAGCTCTGATGGCCTTAGGGCTGCCATCTGTGTTGCCTGCAGTGGTCTTCCACCCACGCTCTCCCACTTGGACTCGATGTTCAGCCTTATCTCTTCGATCCACCATTCTACGTTTACTAGGTAAATGGCTTCGCTCTCTGGTTTGAGGTATGATCCCACCGAGCTGTGTCTTATCTAGGTAGTTTGTTTTTTTTTTTTGTTTTTTTTTTTTTTGTTTTGTTTTTGTAAAATTGTGAACGGGGTTGATCCCTGAGATGAATAAAAATGGGTGTTGTGAAAATTTGTAAAGTGTTTGGTTTTTTTTTTTTTTTTTTTTTTTTTTTTTTTTTTAAAAAAAAAAAATTTTGTAAAGAAAGAAGAAGATAAAATAAAATAAAATAAATAAAGGTAAAGTGGAGGAAGCGTGAAGCAGCATGAGATTTAAAAAGTGAGTAGATATGAATTAAAGTGGGTATGGATTTGTATAAAATAATAATAAAATAAATGAGTGGAGAAGGGTGGTGTGTAAAGTTTGAAATGTAATGATGAAATGTGTGTGCGCCTCGTGTATGTGTGCCCAGCTCTTTTTTTTTTTCTTCTTTTTCTTTTTCTTTTTCTTTTTTTTTTTTTTTTTTTTTTTTTTTTTTTTCCCCCCAAAGCGAATGCACTCACTGGATCTGCTTTAACAGCCAATCTGTAAGCTTCAATGATATCATCACGTGAAGCTACACCACAAGGATTTGTGTGCTTTACAATTACACAAGTGGGATTATTAAAGTCGCGCACACAATTCCAAGCTGCATCAGCATCTAGATAGTTATTAAATGACATCTCCTTCCCATGGTGCTGAATAGCAGATGCAATACCACCAGCATTAACCTCAGAGAGTCTCTTATCCACATAAACTGCAGCCGTTTGATGAGGATTTTCACCATAACGAAGTGAAGATTTGAGCGAGAGAGGCACTGCAAAGCTGAGAGGATACTCGCCTCCAACAGTCGGCTGCTTCCACAGCCACTCACTAACTGCACAATCATATAAACCAGAATGTTGAAAAGCCTTCCAAGCAAGCATCATTCGGAACTCCTGGTCATCCTGATTTCCTTGAAGAAATTCTAGGAGTCTAGGATAGTCTTGTGAATCAACGACAACCAAGACATCTTTGTGATTCTGTTCAACATGCAAGTGTTGTTAGTTGGAATCTGAAAGTAAGTAAGAAAAGAACATTAACTATTAGTACAGGCATATAAAACACCACTAAATATCACATTTGGGTTATGTTTAGTATGGTGTTAGCAACAAGAGTATACGGGCTTCTGTCTTGCGCCAACACACGGTCGGGTTCTTGCACATTGGTTGAAGGCTGCAAAACTCAAAACCAAACAATTGAAATAGCTTTACCCCATGATAAGTATTGGAGTTGAGAATATAGCTTGACACAATGAAAAATTTTGGGGTTGAGAATAAATCAATTTATTCTAATGTCTAAGGAATGACTTGAGAATTAAGATAGTTGTTTTTGTTCTTTGCTTTTGTGTTTTTGTTGGATCAGTGATTAATGACTAGAAATATACATAACTGTAATGCAAAAGTGAGGTTAAACATAGAAATACAGTAGAAAGAGTGGTATATTCCTCAAAAAAAATAATACTAAATGTAACAATTGTCAATAAAAACAACCTTTGCAGCGGCTCTAATCATGGTTGGACCACCAATATCAATGTTCTCAATTGCATCATCAAATGCTATTCCATCAGTAGAGGAAACTTTCTCATAGAAGGGATATAAGTTCACCACCACCACATCAAAAGTACCTGCAAAAGTACTATTTTAGAAATAGCTACAATTGTACCAAATAAAAAGTGACTAACATCAAACTCGGGCCACATATGTTGTGTTGGCTTGGAAATAGGACTAGATAGGATATTTGCATCCTAGCCTACACTAAGACTAGTTCAAAGCTTCTAAAATTACCTGGATATAAAATTCAGTCCATATGACCCATATAATGAAAGTAACAATTCCCGCACTAGGTCGGATTGGGTTATTGCAGCCAGTGGATTTCCACTGTGTCCTTCACGTATTATTGAATGGTTGCCCACACCAAGTTGTGGACCTTCTATTTTCTTTTCTTTTTTTTCTTTTTTTTTTGTGATTTGCAGTTGTGGACATTGTGGTGTAACATTTCATCAAACTCATAAATTATAAAATAAATAATTATAGTTGTCATTCATTTCAAAAATAAGATTAATTTATGTATATGTCTAGTGACATTTGATAAAAATTGATTTTTTTGTACAATTAATCTTTATTGTTGAACTTACGAAATAAATAATCATTAATATGAATTTAAGATAAGACCCACAAAATAACGTATAAAATGATATAATAGATAGTGATATAGAAACGAGTTATTCTCATTATAAATTGGTTCCTTTGGGTCTAGAATAACTGATGATGAGCCCAATCAAAAATAAGAGAGAATTTCGAGAGAGATATCTCAATTAATTAATATTCATATCAAAAAACTTAGTTACAAAATGATTATACCTCTTTTAGATATAGTCTACAATTTTTCTCCACTAGCTATCCTATGAAATGCAGAGTATCCCACTCAAGAATTTTTTCTCCTTTGAAGACAAACAAAACACGGCAGCAGCACCACATGAACTGTGTTCAACACCCATTCCTGAATCTTGTCTCCTCCACACAACAATGGAAAGTGAATTTTTTATATGTGACCACTAGCAGAAGAAGATCGTCTAACCCAAATTAAAAGTTAATCTTACATAGAAGAGGAAAACCTATTACGAATTCTATTTTAATAATTTAAATAATATATTTATTATATATTTTAGTCAAAAAAAAAATTAAATTGATGTCACCACTGACCACCCCCAAAAGAATAAGCTGGCAAAATCCAAATAAAAGGTCAATTATATACGGGAATGGTTAGTCCCTTATTTATTTTTATATATATATATATATATATTATTCATAATAATAATATGGACTGTTCATTTCGTAATAAAAATTACAGGTACAAAATATTAATTTCAACATATATTGATAAATAAATGAACAAATCACATTTTGTTTTATTCATCTATTTTAAAAATAAGATTAATTTATGCATATATTTAATAACATTTTAATAAAAATTGATTTTTTTTTACAATTATCCTTTAGGAGATTTGATGAAAACCCCTCCGTATAAGTTTTCAAGGATATTGACAAAGGAAATTCCTACAAAAGCCTTTAACATTAGAATATAACATTTTAACCCAAATTACCCTTTTAGTTAGTGCGCTTGATTCATCAACCACGTTCCACAAAAATTTCATTTGAATATTATTTTAAACCTTTAAAATGTCATAACTTTTAATTTACATATCTATTTTTAATGAAATTAATTACTTTGTTTGGTTATTGTTTTTCAAATTTTATTTTTTAAAAATTTAGAATACTTGTTTGGTTATTCAAAAAACTAAACATACTTTTCAAAATGACGATAGGCTGAGGAGAGAGACAATTTAAGGAAAGAGACATTTTTCAAAATTTAAGTTTTCCTCTAATTTAAGGAGATAGACAATTTAAAAAAAAAAAAAATTATCACATAAAAAAATACTCTCATCTTAGTTATATATATATATGTGTGTGTACATGCTATATATATATGAAAACATAATTTGATAGGTAGCCATTTATGGATACATATCTTATCATTAAATGTGTGATTTTATCTTAAAATTTGCACTCATTTTAACTATAGAAAATGTAATTTTTTTACAAATTGACATTAAAAAAATATCGTAACTAACTTACAAACTTTTGTAACATAAAGTACAAAAAATTTGGACATTTTGTTATGCCAATTTCAGACGATGTTACACATGTTTGTGTTAATGTTACAATATTGTGTGATAAAATAAATTTTCTGCATAACATTTATGAAAATTTAATTCTATGTAAGAATTTTTTTAATGCCAATTTGGAAAAAAAAAATTACATTTTCTTTAGTTGAAATGAGCGAAAATTTTATGATAAAATCACACAATTAATGACAGGATATGTAATCATAAATGGTTATATACCAAATTATGTTTTCACACACACACATATATACATATAAAACTAACATGGGAGTATTTTTTGACATGACAAATTTTTTTTTTTATTTTTAAATTATCTCTCCTTAAATTGGAGGGAAACTTGTAACTGCAATGATGTATTTTTTTTGAAAACCAAATAAAGATCCTTTTTCAAAATAAAGTTTTCCAATCACTTTTTGGAAAAATAATTCAAAAAAAAGGGAACCAAACATAGTGAATAATTTTGAAATCCTCTCATCAAGATTTATTAAACATGATTCAGGTTAATTATGAAATTCTTTTAAATAAAATCAAATTTTTACCATCAAAATTAATATAAACAGTAAAATTTTACTTTGTTTTCATCGTAAAATTTTACTTTGATTCACAGTAAAATTGACTATAAAATTTTAATTTTTAAATAGTGAAACACCATCATCATCATTAACTACCATAATCACAATAATTATTAATAAACAATTAAAAAATATATAACTTTAACAGAATAAAATTTTACTGTCATTCTATGAATATGTCATCAACTAAAAAAACATAGTACATATTACAAAAAAAACAACCACAACAAATATAATTCATAAATAAATCTAATATAATATGATTTTAAAATATGATAAATATAGCATTATTGAAGAAAATTATTCACTATATTTATGTGTGAAAGATGTTAGAGTAGAAAGTCACGTAATGCATGTGAACTCAATTTGAAAAGCAAACATAAAAAGTAATCCTATACATTCAAGTCTCTTCATATTGGAGGTCCTACATTGCAAGCCTTTCAAATCAACAAACAATAGAGTATCACATCTCACATGATGAACGTGAGATCTATATAGTACACGATAGGAATGGCAATTGAAACTCGGCCCATCAGGGACCCAACCCCCCAACCCCGAAATTGAGAGGCTCTTTCCCAAAAAATACTCCCGACGGGCCAAGAATGGTATTCAAAAATAAATTCCTAATGATATTCGGGCCGGGGACGGTGATACATTTTCTAGCCCCGATCCCAGCCCGGCCTCGCCGCTACCCCCACCTAGCTTAGCCCCCGATTTATATATATATATATATGTGTGTGTGTGTGTGTGTGTGTGTGTGTGTATGTGTATTTAGGATTTGGTGACTCACACTATCACACACAAAACAACCTCTCCTTTCTCTCTATCGCCTCCCTCTCTCTCTTTCTCACACACGACCACCACTCCACCCTCACCGCCGTTCCTCTCTCTTAGCGTCGGCGGAGTCTCTCACACACGACCGCTGCTCCTCTCTTTGCTCTTTCACCGTCGTTTCTCTCTCTCACTTCAGCGTCGACTCCTCCTCTCTCTCTTACTAGCTTCGGCTCTTCCCCTCCCTCTCACGGTATCTCCTCATCTCTAGTTACTCTCTCTGTCTCTCTCACTCATATGGACGAGGTTTTTTTCTTTTGTTCTTCAGATCTGAAAATGATGAAGATGAAGATGAAGATGATGTTGTTGATGAAGATGTTGTTGTTGATGAAGATGATGATATTGATATTGTGGTTGATGAAGGCTTTTTGCTTTTGTTCTTGATGATGTTGTCGTTGACAATGATGTTGATGTTGTTGTTATTGTTGATAGTGAATTGTTGTATTTTTTGAAGAGTTTTTTTTTTTTTTTGGCCGGGGAATGCTCGTGGTCAGGGAAACCCGATCCTTGTTAGAGGCGGGGGGCGGTGATAGGTTCCCCACCGGGGATCGAGGACGTGGGAAATTCGACCATCGAGGATAGGGGATTGGGGACGGGGAGTGTGATCCATGCACCGCTGTCATTCCTAGTACACGACGTGAATCTCCTCAATCTCACAAATAAATCAAGGGTTGGGCTTCCCTCTAGTCTGTGATCGGGTTAGAGAGTATTATTGGGTTCGTGGGGCTCATCACGGGTTCCATTTCGATAATCCGAATAGTTCAATGTGTAAAACTCGTCGAGTACTATATACCTGTAAAAAATCACGTTAATTGGATATCAATAACTATCTCATTGGATCAGATTTCTGTGACCATCGAGGATAGGGGATTGGGGACGGGGAGTGTGATCCATGCACCACTGCCATTCCTAGTACACGACCTGAATCTCCTCAATCTCATAAATAAATCAAGGGTTGGGCTTCCCTCTAGTCTGTGATCGGGTTAGAGAGTATTATTGGGTTCGTGGGGCTCATCACGGGTTCCATTTCGATAATCCGAATAGTTCAATGTGTAAAACTCGTCGAGTACTATATACCTGTAAAAAATCACGTTAATTGGATATCAATAACTATCTCATTGGATCAGATTTCTGTTACTTGGTTATTTTTTCACTGTAGACGTCCCCGAACGCCCCAGGAGGATGAGTCCCGTTCTATTCATTTGGGCTCACTACAGTTCGGACTCAAATTGTCACGGTTCTTAATCTGAACCAAAGAGTCCAAATCCGGCAAATCGTTTTGAGAAGACAGATTTTTTTGAAAGAAGTGCCAAATATGGACTGCTTTGCCAGTTACAGAGTCGCCACCTAAATGTTTTATTTTGGGAAAATTAAGGAAACCCTGACTCGTTTGCCTAAGGCCACGTGTCCGTCATCACCAAAGTTGCCTTGGCTCGGGAACTTGGGTACGATTGGGGAAGGTCACTTCGTGAGCACCCCCGCTCGCCCGATCAAAGATCGGCCTCTACTAACCATGATATCTAGTTTTGAAAACTTTATGCGTTCTTATTCCGGTTATTAGCCTAGATTTACTATGTGATGCGCACAGCATACAAGTATAGACTGGATCGCCTGAATTGGAACAAAACATTTTAAAATAGGAAAACCCACAAGGATTTATAAAAAGATTTGAGCTTTAAACCCATTTTGAAAACCCTTTACATTTTAGATCATAAAGATCAAAATCAACACCAATGCTTCATGGAACTATTAAATCAATCAACAACGATGCAAAACATGTATATATAACTCAAGGATTCCCCTACCTCAAGCTTGATGGAGAAAATGATGAAACCCTAGCTTTTGATGGAAGATCCTCCAACCTCTACCACCCAAGTGAAACTCTAGCTTGATCTAGAAGAT